TCATATAGATCTTTTGCAATAAACTTATGAGGAAGCAATTTCTAGGAGAAAAAAAGAAATCATCAATCAGTTTTTTCTGGTATGATCTTGCCTAACCTTTTCCATAAAAATCGAATCTTTCTATATTTATATGATTAATGTATATCTGACATACTGAATTTACACATTTTACACCTCTATTTGAAAATTACCTATTGTCAATAAAACTTTATTACATTATTCACTAAGTTTTATCACCACAGATTTTTTCAAATATGATAAGTTATAATATACAGAAACATGCATTCAGATATAAAATACATGCAAAGGACAGAAAGCCAAAAGAGTAGGTTAGTAGATTACTCACAATGAGATTAGAAAACAGAATGGGTGGACAAAGAAGGTAAAAACTGAGTGGAAAACAGGGAATGAAGGAGAGAAGAAGAAACAAGAACTCAAGTTCCAAAGTTAATAAATTTCAGATACGTAATCTAAAACTGTATTTCCTCTGAAAAGAGTAACATTAAGTCCAATAGCTTTCTCAAGTCTCTTTCTAAAAAAAGCCAACTGGCTAAAGGCCTAAATATAATACCTTCAATTAATTACTTCTGTATTCAGATATCACTCATTTGTATAATATTCCATTAAAACAGAATAAACTCTTGCAATGAAAAATGAAATAAGAAAAATATGTAGCAATTAGCAGACATGTAGCTCCCATTTTACAAAGTACTTTAAGGTTTACAAAGCACCTTCCTCACATCAAAGAGATCACTGGAAGCTATGTATGCCAACATTAACAGTATTTATTTGAAACTCATCAAAAACTTGGCATTCATATCATTATCAACAATCATCCATGAGGGTTCAAAGGATGTCACCATCTTTTGTCTAAACATAATATGCTTAACCACAGTTTTAAACTATACTTCATACTTTTAAATTAAAGGCCTTTAATTCTGGAGACTTGGGTGAAAATTCAGACACTCATCAGCTGTATAATCCACGAAACAGTTAAAGTGTGCTGGACTTGGAGACAAAGGACCAAGGTTCACATACCAGCAATCCTACTTACTACCTGAGTCCTTCAAGCAAGTTATCTCTCTGAGCCTCAGTTTCCTCATTTGTAAAATAAATGGATTGGACTAGATAACTTCTAAGGTCTCTTCCAGCTCTTTAAGCTAGGATTCTGCAATAATTAGTAAGTGACAACCTCTCAAGGCCTAAATTTTCTCATCTATAAAAAGAATTAATACCTATCTCTCCTTATGAGAAAGGCATTTTGTAAACTTTAAGACACTAAATAAATAAGTTATCATCCATATTGGATCAAGTCATGGAAACACTGACAATTTCATAAATGCATTGCCTTCTTCATTTTGCTCTGTGCTACCACCAGCTGAGAATATATATACTTAAATGGTTGAGCACTCAAAGAATATGCCCTGTAAGAAGCTCAAGAAGCTCAAACAGAAAAAAGGGAGCAACAGCATCAAGAACAAATTAAGTAATATAACAAACTGACAAAATAAACCAATAAAAGAACCACGGAAAAAAGTACTACACGAATAAAAGGAATTTTTGTGAACTTATTCTTGCTTATAAAAATGAGAATAAAATGTACACATTTCTATTTTAAATCAACCTAACACACTGTCTAAATATTTTGATCTAGGCTGTATAATAACCACTTATTTTAAGTTATCACAGAAGCCATGATAGAAAGTGTCAGGTAGATGGCAGGTTCCTGCGATGCCAGTGTCACATGCTGTCACTTCAGACAGGAATCACTCAATAAGAATCTGGACTTCAAAAAGCCCTGCAGACTTTGTGGTGCAATCACCCATTTTAAAGATAAGAAATCTGAAAGCATAAGTGACTTGACCAAAGTCATACTAGTAATGGTCAGACCAAAGTGTAAACTTCAAAGAGTAAACATGTTTTTAAAATTGTTATTACAATTTATATACAAACAGTACTGAAGAAAAAATATTCTAAGTAATACCAATAATTTTGTAGTGAATATAGTGATAACACCAGCATCTTTCCACAGTGCAAAGAATCATGGGCTTGGAGTCAAGAAATATCTGGATCTAATCACCCCTGAGGAATTCACTAGGGGTATGAGTAAATCACCTGGCTTCCCAAAGCCTCAGTTTCCTAAGCTATAAAATAGGTATTGTACCTACCGTACTTAACTCCCAAGAAATCTCTAAGGCTCAAATGAGATAACCTATGTAAAGTCCTATATAAATGTCTGTTAATTATTATACCAGCTCTTTTAAAAACGTGTCTATTAAGCCCAACTGGCAAATTAAAGGGAGCAAATAGAAAGATTAACAACCTTCAAACTAATTTATAGAAGAGATATTAAAGTTACAGAAATCATCATTCACTTAAATTGAGCTTAGAACTGAAAAAGTGGTGAGTGGATTTAAAAAATGGTATTAAAAAACAAAATCTTATTATTAATACTGTATTTTTTCAAGCATTAAACTGTATTCATCCCTAAAATTTAATAAGGATAAATGTAAATTCCTTTTAAAAATCAAATACTGAAGTCCAAAATAGGGAAGGCATGACTAGAAGGAAAAGGAAAGGGAACAAGCATCTATATATAGTGTGTACTATGTGCCAGGCACTGTGCTAAGTGATTTTGCAAATATTATCTTCTTTGATTCCTTGCAACAGCCCTGGGAAGTAGGTGCTATCCTTCATTTTACAGTTGAAGAAATTAGGGCAGACAGAGCTTACAGTGAATGATTTGCCCAGGGTGGAACACCTAGTAGGTGTCTTGAGGCCACACTGGAACTCAGGTCTTCCTGACTCCACACTCAGCACTCTATCCACTAGGCCATCAGCTGTCTCTGAAAATCACCAAGATCTAAAAGACTCAAGGCTCTTAGTGAACTTCAAGTCCAACATCAGTCAACAGCTCATTCATGTCAACAGATCCGACAACCAAAAAAAGCTAATGGGAATCTTACGCTGCATTCATGCATTCATACAAGTACGGTATCTAGAAAAAGAAGGGAGAAGAGTCAGCTTTATATTCTAGTTATGGTTAGATAAAATCTAAAATACCCTGCTCAGTTGGAGACACCACAGTTAAGGAAGGTTACTGACAAGCTGAGGCTGATCCAGGAGGGTCACTTGCTAACTATGGGAGTAAAAATCATGTCATAAGGGCATTAGAAAAGGAATTAATTGGAGAAGTCTGCCCAAAATAATGAAAGAGAAGGGAAGCTACCCTCAACTTTTTGACAGGCAGTCATGACCCCAGAAGCCCAAATTGGCAACGATGAGTGTAAGTCTCAGAAAGACTACTTTTGGTTGACGTAAGGAAAAATTTCCTAACAATCAGAGCTATTGAAAAGTGTCCCATTGGTGGAGGATCAGAGAAGTAGATGCTGGATAAGGAAGGGGGATTCCTGCTCAGATAATGAGTAGGTGATTTCTAAAATCCATCTAATCTTTGAGTCTAGAAACATGGATAAAACTTATCTCAAAAGTTAAGGCTTCATTATATATTCAGCTTTATCATTTTTAAGCAAATTAATCAGTTAACTGAAAATATATCTATAGGCTTTGACAGTAACTACAGTATTTTTAAAATAAAATTTAAGCCTTTGATTTTTTCCATTTTTTCAGAGGTTCAATGGGAACTTTAGGAAGCACTGCGACCATGAAAAGATGATAGTCCAGTTAAGACTTTGGAAACTGTTATTGGAAAGAATAAACTACTCCACAAACATATTTTTGATTGGTAATGTAAATATTATCTAAAAGGCTTATAATTTGGGTTCCCATTTTATCCAAACAGATGTATTCGGCATAGTCTCATCAGATTTAGTTACCTAAATTTTCACTGGCACAACTTAAGTTAAATAAATTATAAAACAGTGGATTAAAAAATAATTCATCTCAACAGAGTCCACCTCTTATCTTTTAAAGAGATAAGTTAATTAAATCAACATCAAAAGCTAAAAATAGAGGGGAGGGGTAGAAGCAAGCAAAATATAAATCTGCATTTTTGTTAAACTCGACTCACAAAGTGAATTTAAAGTACTGATTTTTTAAACTGGCTTACAATATACATTTCCTTGGATGTGAAAAAAAATCAGGGCCTAATTTTAATACATAAATTATGAAAGAGACATCTTTTTTGCCTGTTTCTCAGTGAAAGATTAAAAGCTGAGGTACAGAATTAAATCTTAAAACTGTCTGACCACCACCAAATCCAATCAAAGAAAGAAGTACCGGCAAGTACTCCCGACTAAAGTACCTAATTAGTACTTCTAGCCTTAACAATACGCAAAGCGTTCTTTAAGAAATGGTATAGTCCATCATTTAGATAGATAGACAGACACACACACATTTTTTTTTCACATTTGACACCTTAACTTCTCAAAAGCTTCAGTTTCCTTATTTGTAAAACCAAATGGTGAATGAAATGATTTCTCCAAGAATTCTTAGTGTTTTAAATTCTGATTCTTGTTTCAGAAAATCTAGAATTTACCAAACAATTGTATCGGTCACTATATTATGCTCCAGGGGAAAAAAAAATCACATAATATAACAAAACCTCTCTTTATCACGCTATATAATAATGTACTCGAGTAGAGTCCCGTCGTTTTCCCAACTGAAACCAAAAAAATACCTTTTGTATACCTGTGTCTGTGTTCATCATGTCCTTGTCCATGGATCAAGAAGCCTCCAATGTCTTTTTCTCCTTTGCTGGTATCTACATGTGGAATCAACACATCCTCTAAACCCAGGTCAAACCTTTTGTGTTTTGAAGAGTCCGGAAGGAAGAAAAATGCCCCAAAACATAGGGTGATGAAGGCACTAAGAATAAGGAGAAGGATAAACTTCTCAGATAGTCTTAATGTAGCCCTGTGATGAGAAAAGGAGGGCGGCCCCAGGTTCAAGGGTGGTATTCTACGTCCAGTTAAGGGCAACAGAGCCGGGGTGGTCATTGTTTACTTCTTCTAGAAAGTGTTTTTAAAAGCCGTCATCTTATGTCAAACGTACAATACATCGAACAGCCTCCAAAATATTGGCAAAAATAGAGAAAGTGGGAGCCTTCGCGGACTTCGGGGATTATTGTGCTTATTCAACAAGTATCGCCTTCTGCCCCTCTTCCAATTACGTTCGGCAGCCTGCGCCCCCGCGGCCCCTCCCACCCCCCCCCGAAGAATCGCGACTCTAGGTTCTTCCGTGGTCTCTCGGCAGCCCGGGCAGCAGCAAAGAGTCGCCCCTCATTCCTGGGGGTCGCGGTCGCGCGGTCCCCACTGAGGAGAAGGCCGAGCGGCGGCCCCCTCCGACGCCTGCTCCCTCCGCTGGCTCAGCTCTCCAGCCCCCCGGGGTGGGGGGGTTTCACATGCCTCCACTCGGGATCCTCCCAAGTTTGAAAAAGGGCGCGTGGGGAACTTGCTCCGGCGGCCACAAACCCGGGGGCGGCGGCGGCGGCGGCGGCGGCGGCGGCTCTGGCAGCGGCGGGCAGACGCCAGGGCCTGGGCCAGCCCGCGGGCTGGGCAGCGGCCGCGGGGCTCGTCACAGTGCGCCGGGCTTCATGGGTCACCGGAAGGGAAAGCAGATCGGGGATCCCCGCGCCCCCGAGGCGGCTCCCGCCGCACCCGTGGTCGTGACCGTGGCCGTGGCGGCTGCGGCGGCTGCTGGCCCGGGCGGGGGGGAGTGCACTTCCTGCCGCGGCCGCGGCTCGAGGCTCGGCGGGGGGGGGGGGGGAAGGACGCGGCGGCCCCGGCCGGCGGCGCTAGCCCCGGTGCCGGCTCCTCGCGAGGCCTCGGGCGGAGCGAGGCCGCGGCTGGGCGCTGCCCGAAGGCGGCGGCGGCGGCTCCCACACGAGGCCGGCCCGGGCCTGCTCGCGCTCGGCGGCGGCGGCGCTGGCGGCGTGGGAAGCAGTCTGGCCGGGCCCACTCGGTCCCGGAGCCCGCGGCGGGCAGCTGCTCATGCCCCTCCTCGGCCGCCGGGAGGAGGGCGCCGGGCAGGAAGAAGACGACGGCGGGCGGCGGCGGCGCCGCGGGCGGGCCGGGGAGGGCGCTCACGCTGGCCTCCCGGGCGCTCGCTCCGGGCCCGCGTTCGGCCCCTCACCTCCGCCCGCCGCCGCGGGTGCTCCGGGCCAGGCCGGGCCTGGCTCCGTCCTGCTTCCCTGCCCCCCCCTCGGCCCCGCGCGTGGCGGCCGAGCTTCTCCCCGCGCCCCCACCGCGAGTGGCTGGGCGGTTGGCAGCTAGGTGGGGGCGTGCGAGCGGGCGCGCGCCGGGGAGCAAGGGCGGCCGATGGAGGGACGAGCGCGGCCTCCGCGCCTCGGCTCGCGAGTGGGAGTCAGGGCGAGAGCGAGAGAGTGTGCGGGGTGAGCCGGCGATGCGCGCGCACGCTCTCCGTACCCCTCCCCACCCCTCCCCCTCCTGGCCCCGGCGTCCCAGCGCCCGCAGCCCGGACTCCGCCGCCAGCCACTCCTCCCGGCGGGGCCGCAGCCAAACCCGGCGCTCCCCCCGCGCCCGCTCCCGGACCTCCTCTGAGCGCATGCCCCACCCGCGCCGCAGGCGGCCCATTTATTCCGCTCTAGGATAGCGCTGGTGGCTAAGTGCTTCCCTTGCCCGGGCATCCAGCCTTTCTTTGCCTCTTTGCCACCTCCACCCATTGAGCCTAGTCCGGCCCTCTCGGGGCCAGCAGAACTGGTGGGGTCACTCCTACAGCCCTTCTCTAGGGTAAACAGTCCGGGAGCCTTCCAGCCTCTGGCAGGGCTTCCAATTGGGGGCGTCACGAGCCAGAAGAAGGATGAGGCTGGCGATCACTTTTCATCCAAGCCTAGCATCCTTTCTGAAATCCAAAGCATTGGGAAAATTGGGTCTGTGGAAGAAGGGAAGGGCGAGTCACCTAATTAAAACGGTTGGATTTGCCCAAACCCAACCCAATCCAGCAGTTAAACTTTAATCTCACTTGTATGCAGCTCTTGTCTCTCCTCCCCCATTCCCTAACTAGAATGTAAATTACTGGAAGGTCCATGCAAAGGTGTGGTAACTAGCCTAGGAATCGGGGACTGCCCGGCTTCCGGTGGCGTAATCTTGAGCCAATCACTTCACACCCAGTTTGGGCCTCAGTTTCCCTTTCTGTAGAATGAAGGGATTGAACAGGGTGTTGTATAAATGGTCTTCCAACTCCTAACAACCTATGTCTCAAACTTCTATATACTACCCACGGAGCACCTTTACAGGGTACTAACCACACAGCTAGGCGTTTAAATGAATGAAAGGTTAAACAGACCCTCTAGCGTATTGCCATTCCCCCTCCTCACCACACATTTGCCCTTCCTCTTTCTCCAATGTTGCAACGGTCCAAAAGTTAATCCAAGTGTTCACTCGTACCTCCATTCTTCTTATTCAGGACCGGTTCCCCATACCCCACCTCTGTGAGCCTCAAAGCTTGACCTATCCCCAGGGAGATTGTGCAGCTCAACTGAGATAATGGCTATAAAACACTTTGCAAACGTTAAAGTGCTACATAAATGCCAGTTATTATTATTAGCCTACAGTCTGCAGGCTTCCGATCTGGTGATGACTTTATTCACGGAGCCTTCTCTTTGCATACCTGCTGAGCTCAAACAGTGTTTATAGAGCAATGTAGGGTTGTGCAGGTAGATATTTGAGGGGAAGGATTGTAAGCACATGTACTTTTAATTTAATCTGCATTATTAACTCTTTCTTAAGCGTAGACAAGCAACAAAACAAATCAAGTCCTGATTTCTAAGTTGTAAATATCGGGGCTGAAAATTTCCCAGCGGCCCTCACGACCTGATTTGTTCTGGTTCCAGTACATGCAATCTCTCTTAGTTCACTGCTAACACTGAAGGAGGCAGAAATCATGAGGCAGAAATCATTCCGTGGAGTATGGAAACTACCCGGAGGGCCCAAGGTTTAGGGACAGGTGCAGCCAGGCACAGTAAAAGGTCAGAGCAAGAAAAACAAGGAAGATTTGGAGTGCCAAACGGGATATCTGTGGTCATGCACCTGAGTCCCCACCCCGGACTTATGCAAACAATTCCCAGAAATAGCTGAGCTCATAACAGTTTCTAGGGTGCCCCTCAGCAGTTTCTAGAACCCTCTCGTGACCGGAGTTTTTATTCAAACTAACCAATGATCTTGCTCCTCGCTTCTGTACCCGCGCTTTTTTGCTATAAAATGAGACCAAAGAATCCACCCGGCGCGCCAGTCCCTCTAGGTGACTGAGTCGCCCGAGTACTCGTAAGTTCAATAAACCTCTTGCTATTTGCATCCGGAGTTGTGTTCGCGTTGATCCTGGGAGGGTTTCTCAAGGTCGGAGGACTACCCGAACATTGGGGTCTTTCATTTGGGGGCTCGTCCGGGATCTGAGATTCCCACCCAAGGACCGCCGAACCACCGACGGGAGGTAAGCTGGCCAGCGATCGCTCTATGTTCTCTCTGTGTCTGACTCCGAAAACTCTGACTGTCTATTCGGTGTGCGCGCATTTTTGGTTTCAGTTTATTCCGGGTTAATCGATCTAAGATCGAGGCGTGAGTAGCGGACAGACGTGTTCGGGGGCTCACCGCCCGGCAATCCTGGGAGACGTCCCAGGATCAGGGGAGGACCAGGGACGCCTGGTGGATCCCACGGCAAGGGATAATTCTCTTCTGATCTCACAGTTGCACTGTCTTGAGAGACATACCCTACCTTCTGACTCTTTTTCCTGTCTTTTTAATATACGTCTACGCCGCCATATAATTTTTTTCCTTTTTATTTCAATAATAATCATTATCTGGGTCGTAATTCCACTCTTCGGGACCCCCAGAATGGGACAGGGTGAGTCGACCCCTCTCTCTCTTACACTAGATCACTGGAAAGACGTGAAGACAAGGGCTCACAATCTTTCCGTGGAGATAAGAAAGGGAAAGTGGCAAACCTTCTGTTCCTCCGAGTGGCCCACGTTCGAAGTGGGATGGCCACCGGAGGGGACTTTTAATCCTTCTATTATTTCTGCAGTCAAAAGGATTGTCTTCCAGGAGACTGTTGGACCTGGTGAAAGGGTCTAGAAAGAAGAAAGATTTTTTTATTGGGTCAATTGTATTAGTTATGTTGCTGGAAGGGCAATTTCTTTTATAATCTGGAATGTTAAATTAATTGTGTCTTCAAAAAAAAAAAAAGGGAGTCAATTTGGCTGTTGGGGCATTTTATATGATCCTGTTTTGTAACATTTCCTTTTAAATATTGTAATTCAAGGAAGTATAAGATTTTCAAATTTTGTCTCTATTGAAAGGGAATTTTCAGTTGAAATTGTTTTGTTATAATTTATAAAATTTGTGAGATTGTTAACTAAGTTTTGGGGTTATTGTTTTAATATCAAAACCTAAGATTGTTAATTGATTACTTGTGTGTGAAAAGGAGGGGCACATGGCAATTCCCCTTATTTTGTAAACTTGCCAGGATCCCTGGAAACTATGGGGGGGAGGAAAGGTCATCTGCCCTGAAAAAAAAAAAAAAAAAAGTGCAGCTTCCATATGTTTGTTTGACATGTGGCATGGTAAGGAAATTTTCTTAACTGAATGGGTTGTAAATTCAATAGAGCGGGAGGGTGTCAAAGTGTCCATTGAAATTATAGACCAAGATATCTGTGTTTCTTTTACCATTAACATGACATAGCATAGTCTATGTCCATAAGATACCGAGATAAGAAAAGTCCCATTGTTCTGGAGAGTGTTTGGTCCCAGACATCTTGGGCTCAGTGATAACAAACAGAAAGAATGTTGGTCAGTTCTAACTGGTCCTGGAAAGGGGTGTTTTTGGTTCACTTGAAAAAAAAAAAAGAATTAGTTCAGGTTTTTGGCCCTTATTGGGGTTCAATTGATTATACTCACCTCAAGATGTTCCCATTGTTTAAAGGAATTATGAGAGCAGTAGTATTTTTCTGTGATCAGTCTCTTACTATTACCAATGTGAGATTAAATTCTTATTATCCAGGATTTGTGATTTTATGGGACAGACATTTACTATTGTTTTGAGCTTTGATTACCAGGGTACTTGTCTGAGTTGTCATAAAGCCAATAGTAGAATGGCATGTGCTGCAGGCTGAGAACTGATAAAGGTGGAAGTCTGTGCCTGGGAAGACTTTTGAGGACAACCTTGGACACAGCCTAGATAAGATCTTCCTGACTCTATTTCCCAATTGTGCTATTTCCTTTCTGACACGGGAAATCCCCACCTGATTAATCCCAGGCCCTGCTTTTAACATCCAGTGACTATGCGATTACCTATCAGATATGACTCATGCCTGGAATCAAATGGAGCTAAGGAAGTTCTTTCCTTCTGATATGATATATGACCCTGTCCCTCTGGAACATCCCTGTGTTACCGTAATAGGATGCAAGTACATTCATGGCCACATAATAATAATATAGGGATAACATCCCCCTAAGGAGGAAATGTTTATACACAATAATAGGACAAACGTGTAATGTGATAGATGTCTAATTAAATAGGATAGCAAATTTTGAGAAAAGCAATAGGATTAGACTGATATGATTGGCTTCCAAGATGTATCTATTATAGCAATCCAAGCTTTAAGCATGTTTAGGTAGGAAGATCACAGTTTTGGATTTTTACACTAAGCCAGAGAAGCAGAGCTCCCTTTTTGAACTGCCTATGAGTTAAACCGATTGTACATGAGCAAGGAACTTAATATTAGTTAATATAGGTAATACTGATTGTATTGATTTGTATGATTCCTGTCTAAGGTTTTCTTTGTTACCCTGATTACATGTAAATCTCTCTTTTCCAAACTAGTCTATTGTGAGCTCTCTGATTGGTTCAATCTGTACCTGACTTAATGTAATTATGCAATTTTGCAAATTATGAGTAAACTTTGTTGTATTGTTTGTTTGAACCTAGTCCTGTGTGACTGGGAAAACTGAACTATCTCTATGTGCCTTTAACTAAAGACTTATGAGGGATTCTGGGATACTTAGGAATTTAGTTTCCTTAATACTACTCTGGAATTTGTGTTATTTAAGAACTTTTGCACCAATTTAGTGAGGTTTTATGAACAAGAGTAGAAATGCATGCAAGCTTTTTAGGGCTCATTTTGGAAATGTTCCTTAGGCAATGTGACATCTTAGGGTACTATAGAACTGGGACTTGTGTTCTGTGTGTGTTCCTATATGAGTTAAAGTTCTTTACAATTAGGTCAGGGGTTTGTGAGAATGTTATTTTGTTATTTGGGTAATATCATACTTGTTTAAAGTTGTGTTACAATTAATAATGTTAAAAGGGAAATGGCTTGTGGTTTATCTTCTCCATGTCATCAGAGAAACATGGCATGACTGAAACATTTAAGATCCTATATGCACTGTGTTAAAATGGATTCTTTCATATATCTATGTATGCATTGGGGCCTGTGGATTAATGTAAGGTATGCATATTGTTGTTTGCTCTTGTTTACTATTTAGTGGGGGTTGGCAGTATGGGTCCGGCTCTTACGGCAGTCCTCTTCCTTGGATGATTCCTTTGCCAAAAACTAAAAGGGGGGAGTAGGAACTCAGGGCAGATGGCACTAAT